TCAAAACGCATGCCTCTTGAAACAAAGCAATAACTTTTTTTTTTCATTTGTTTTGCCTAATCTTTGTGCAGTGAGGACGTTTTGTTTCAGATGCAGCGCTCTAGCTGTAAATCCGCTTGCCCCATAGTAAAGTAGAAACCATCCAAAGTTCTGTTTCTGTCTCTTTTTTCCACTTTTACGTTGTTATCTTATTGTGTAACGATTCTCTTATTTTTCTCCCCACTCTCGTGCTTTCCCAGGTGTGTTTTTAGGTGTTGTGTGTAGCATACGTGTATTCTTGTCCCTCTCTTTTATTTTTCTGTTTCTTTTCTTACTGTTTTTGTTTTTTTCTATCCCCGAGTTTCCTCTCAGAATGCGCCTAACTCGCCTCTCTCTGCCGTGATTGGTTGATCAGGTCGTCGGGAGAGACGAGGAGCAGGGAGATGCTGGAGCTGAACATGAGCAACATCAGCGCCGACGTGCTGGAGCTGCTGCTCGAGTTTGTCTACACGGGGTCGCTGGTCATCGACTCGGCCAATGCCAAGACGTTGCTGGAAGCTGCCAACAAGTTCCAGTTCAACACCTTCTGTAAAGTCTGTGTCTCCTTTCTAGGTAGGCGTAGCTCAGAGGGAAGAGCGGCGGGGGCGGGTGGGGAGGGGTGCATGTGTTTACACGAGTGTTATCTGCTTATATCAGCAGTGCGTGCATGCTTATTACTTCAGATATGCCTGCGCGACCATACGGCCCTGGGTGTTTTCATATACGGTCATGCTTCGTCGCTGTGCACAAGTCCTCATGCAGCACCTACATTTCCTCCCCGGCCCTGGCACACCGCTCTCCCATTTTTGTCATGTTTCCAAAGCTCGCAGCCGTGTTAGAATTCACTCTCAGCCGGGCACGGTGCCTCTGATCTCGTCCCAGAGAGCAGGATCAAGCACGGGGGCAGATTTATAAAAAGGTCAGGGAACAATTGTCACTTAAATGTCAAATCCTCTGGTCTGAGCCGCGATGGAATCGAAAAACAGCCAAACAGATTGATACTTAGACAAGGTATGGAAAGAGGTGGATAGAAGGGGAGTGGGCCCGTTGGGGTGGAAGGGGGAACCCAAAGGACGGGGGGCGGGGTCTGCATGAAAAGCAAATGGCACGTTCCATATTTTAGTGGGTCGGCCAGCCAAAAAAGCCGGAAAGGTCAAGTTTTGCATTCCATTTAATAAATAGTTTTGGGTATCGGTAACACGGGGGAAGTGCATGTTAGCAAAAAGGTCAGCAGCAGGAAAGGAGGGGAAAATTGTAAGAGGAGCAGCAAGCGCCGTTATTGATTTGTTTTTCTCAATTTGGGAGGGGGGGGAGGGTTAAAAATGGGAAAAACACAGAAGCCATTTGTAGACTTCATCGCCAGCGAGGCGTCAATCCGTTCTTCCTCGACAAGATTCATGACATTTCAGCGCTCGAGAAGTAACGGGCACGACCGTGTCTCCTTGAGCGAAGAGGAATTGATACCGCGTGAGAAATTATTGAAGTTTGCAACAAACATACCGAGGAGGAACGGCAGACATCTTCTCCGACCTACTTACACTTCACACGTCTTCTCACTCCAACAAATACGAAACAAAGTCGTTCATCGTGCGCCTCGTGAGGAATCCCGGCTTTTTTTTTGTTTTATGATTGGAAAATCAAAAAGTAAACGAACAAAACACGCTCACCTTTTTACAACCCGAGTGTGTAGTATTGGAAAAAATGATTTCTTTTTAAAGGGTTGTTCAGACGATCATCTGCTGTGAAATAT